CTTCAATCACATCATTTTGCTCCGCAGATGTATAGGCACATTAAAAACCAGCATTTGAGAGTGTCTCTCTCACACACACACACACCATGGCGTTTCATGCCATCGGTTGCCAAGCTTCAAATTGAGCGTTATAATACTCGTTTATTACACATTTTATAAGCAAGGATGGGGATTCTATCAGCGGCAGGAGAGCCGTTTCCTTTTCCTGGCTGCGAACGCTCTTATCACTGCTCAAACACAAGTGCACACTTTGCCCAACAGAGACTGCTGTTCAGAGACTCATTTATCTTTCTGAGAGAGCGCTGGATAGTTCACTCGCTCTCTGTCTCACACTTGCTATCTCTTGCTTTTTTTCTCTCCCGCTCACCCCCCTTTCCCTTTTTTTTTGGCTTGGGGTGGGGGGTATTTTCAATTAGATTTCATTCAATTCTGTCAGAGACGGAGCACATGCTCTGGAGCGGTGGTCCCTGGTGTGTGTGTCGCTCAGAGGATGTCGTTTGCGCACACAGGGTCCATTGGCAGAGGACAGAGTGTGTGTTTGAGAGATGTGTCCCTCTTCATCTCAGACTCGTTTCGGCGGCTGACAGAGACAAATGACAGCACTCAGAAATGACTTGCTGCCTCTCGATCCTAACAGGTTGAGTGGTTTGAAATGACACACACATACGTACACACTCCCCTTTCAGCTTCAACCTTTTGTTGTCAGTTTGGCGTCAGCGGCGTGGCCTTGAAATTGAGCTTCTTTTTTGGCATGAATGAAAGAACATTTCATTTAGAACAAGAATTGACAAAATGGAACAAACATTGTTTATGTCTGTAAAAAAGGCTTTAAAAGCAGCTTTAAATGTTTTTTTCTTCATCATAGACAAAGCTGTTTTGCAGCTTTAATTTATTAACATTCTATGATAAACAGTAAAGGTCTCTGCACACTGAGTCCGAATTTTTCGTCCGAAATTTTCGCACGTTGAAAAATAAATACGACCTCACGTTGTGTCAATCACGTTTACACACTGCCTCCGAAAATTTCGTCCGTCATAAAAAAATTCTGACCAGGTTCGATTTTCGGCGTTTTCGCATCCATAGCAAGCCTTATGATAGGAAAGGATGACGAATACGAAAAAAATGGAAAAACGCATATTAAAATTTCGAACTCAGTGTGCAAGGACCTTAAGTTTTGCATCTTCTTTTCCATTTACATTGCTTGACCATAAAAAAGTTGCTGTTTGGATTTAAATGAGCAAGTATTTAAGAGTCTAGGATTGGATCATTATTGCAGTGATTAATATGTTTCTGGCATGTTATATGTTTGGCAACAAATCTTTTAACCCTAGCTGGTGCAGTGTGTAGCTTTTCATTTCCTAAACAACCGTGTCAGAAGATGTAACCCATAGCCATATTCCAGGATGACAATACCAGTATTCACTGTGCTCAAATAGTGGTTAAGTGAGCATAAGAAATCATTTTCACACACAGGCCTCCTTAACCCCAATTAAAAGTCTTTTGGATGTGCTGGAGTTGACTTTAGAGAGTGGTTTGACACTTCCGTTGTCAATACAAGATTTCAGCCAAAAGTCAGTGAAACTCTTGATGAAAATAAATGTTGTGATGTTGCATAAGGTTGTTGAAACAATGGCATGACGAATGCACACCATAATCAACATTTTAGAAATATCCGCTAGTAACAGGTTTTTGGACAACAATCAAGAGAACCTATAGAGTTCATTGCAAGGCTAGTAGTATGTGAGGTATATAAAAAGTAAGATATTAGATACACAGCAGACGGTCATATCCATCTACAGCATGTCAAGCCAAGGTACTGCATCATTCCTTTATTCCTTAGGGTTTGAGTAGACAGGAGCCAGATAAAGTGTGAACTGTTGAAGTAGTTCTGCAATAGAGATGGAATGAACCACAGGTTAAAGGTCGTCTTTTTAAGTCAGCAAGATTTTACGGTTTGAATTTCATCACCAGGTCCCCTTTTCAGATGACTGTCATCCTAAAGGAATGAGCGACTTTTTTATTAATAGTTCTTGTTTGTACATTTTGATAGTGATGCACAAATATTGGATATTTAATTGTTACTCTCATTTAGCCTATTTTCTCATTTTTTATTACTACTGCCATTATCGAGCACTCACTTGTAATAGCAAAAGTTTATGGTAAAGATGGAACCTTTAAGATCAGTATTTGCTATTTATTTGAAACAAAATTGTATAAATTTTTAATACTGGTCATACACTACCGTTTACATTTCTTAACTTGCCCTAGTAAAAAAGTAATATATTTATTTACTAATACAAAAATAATAATTAAACTGTATTTGGAGTACTACTTTTGCACAATTTATTAATATTAAGCCTAAATGTGTTTTAATGTCACAGCTGATGAGGATTGTATGATCTTTGAATAATATCAGTCTTTAAAATGCAAGATATGTAAAGTGTACCTGAAGTATACTTGCAATAGTTCCACTTTAGCACAATCAAATATACTTCAGTATATCTTTAGTTGGTCTTCTGCCCTACTTCCACACAATTAAAGTGCATTAAGAACAAAATTAGTTATTCAAATTTAGCGGACTTTAAGTATACCAGTTTAGTATACTGAAAGTGCAATTGCAGTGTATTTTTATTCAGTACATAATTAAGTAAATGTATTTGTAGTGTACTCCGCATAAAACAAATGTATTTCAAATACATATTAGTATATTTATTTTTCACTAGAGTGGTGCTGATATGGTGCTCAACATGTCTTATTATTATCAGTGTTGGAAACAGTTGTGCTGCTTAATATTTTTTGTGGAAAACATGATAGATTTCTTTGATGAATAGAAAGTTCAAAGGAACAGCATTTATTTGAAATATAAGTCTTTTGGGCCATTATAAATGCCTTTACAGTCACTTTGAATTCCTTGCTGAATTTCTTTCAGAATAACGCATGAATTAAATAAATGTATTAAAAACACATAACTAACCCAAAAGTGTATTATTGACATTAGAATTTTAGTACTACTGGCACAACCCTACTTGAGGGTTGTCTCTTTTGACTTGGGCCTCTAAACAACAGCTTAGCAATCACCCATAAATCCCATGCATAGCAGTTTATATTTACATTGACTCTCTTACTCCTTCCATTTAGAATGGCAGGTAATGATCTGATAGTGAAGTGTGTGCTATATTGCCATGTCGTGTTGAGTGGTGTGTGGGAGGACGGGGGACTCTCTCTGCATTAACACTGCTTACATGAGGTTAATTTCATTACCAGTCAATGGCAGCTGCTAATGCACAATGCAAACAGACGGATCCTTCAGATGAAGTTCCTCCATTACACTTGGGTAAAAAAGGGATTTCATCTTACGACACTATCCGTGATCGCTCAGCTATAATAAACTCTTCCATGCTCAAACTTCTCCATTATACCTTGGTTAGGTAGTGCATCGGATATCACATTAATGCTTGGGTTTCCATACCAACCGCCTGACAGAGGGGAGATGAGGAAGATAAATAGGAGAGCATGGCCGTCTCACATGCCGCTTGTCAGGGAGTTTGCGGTGGCGAACAGCAGCATTACCGTGGCGGTGGAACAGCCCTAATCCACATTTAATTGAACTCTGGAGACTTTGAAGTGAGTCTGCAGAGCAGACAGGAGCAGTGACATTGCTCTGAGCGCACAGCACAGCTGCTGCCCTCTCGATCTCTCTTCTTCTATCCTCTTCTCTTTCTCTCATTAATGAGTACATATCAGTGTTAGCCTTGGTACTAGAAGATCTAAGTGTCTAAAAATCTCAGCTGTTTATCTGCCCTAATCCGAGCCGCTCAGATCAGGTGCGGTGGTCTTTTTCTCCTCTTCTGTCCTAACAACCAATTTGTAATTAAGCTAAATTAGAAATGTAAGAAAACAGTGAGCGTAAGGAGGACAAGTCTATAGAAAAGACTGGTGTGTTTGTCACAGCTGAGTATCTGTAGATGCAAAATTATGCTGTCTGTCATTTTCCAGGATCATGGAAACCTGCCATTGTTGGAAACCTAATTTGGTTGCTTCTACCAAAGGACAGACAAAATTGCAACAAAGTATTGTAGAGTTTCACATCAGCAATGACAAATATGAAGTGTGTTGTCCTACCTTTTTTTTTTTTAAATAAGCATATTTCTTTGTTAACTGTATGGTGGTTAGTTGCATTTATTTATTTATTTGTTTTATATAAATAAATGTATAACATGTTATAATTAATATTAATTTATAATTTATAAATTAAATTTTTTTGTATTTGCATTTATCATAGTCTTTTTCCTGCTATCTGAAAAACATCTCTAGCTTACTCCCTTCCCAATTAAACAGCAAATTAATAACTTTTAGAGATGAATTCCAGTGTCTCTTATCCCAGTAATCTGCAGCATTTTAATGTGTATGAAAACTCTTTTATAGACATCCCTAGATATAAAAACTGTTGTTTTTTTCCTAGCATTAAACAGCAAATTAATAACTTTTAGAGATGAATTCCAGTGTCTCTTATCCCAGTAATCTGCAGCATTTTAATGTGTATGAAAACTCTTTTATAGACATCCCTAGATCCCTAGATTTGCTTTCAGCATTTCTTGCACTTTGTGAAAGTTGTTTTCAGCATTTCTTGTATTTTCTGAACAACAAAAATGTGATGGTTGTGCAGCAGCAGCAGCAAATGCTAAAGCCATGTTTCGCTTACACCAACTTGAAAGGCAAATATTGATAGATTTCCAGTTCTCTTGGTACTGATTACCTTTTAGTGAACTGTGGCCTTCCTGCACCTTTTCAGTGTGTGTCATTTTAGCGCTTAAAGCATCTCTTTTTCATGAGGACTGATCAATAATATACATTAATCCTGCTCTGCGACCCTGGGCGTGAACTATGGGTGATAAATGAACTAAAACCTTCCCTCTGCCCCACTGCTTTCTCACTCATATCCCCTTAATTTTTTTACATTTATCTTTGATCAGTTGTTTTTCTTTGTCTCTCCTGTACAGATTTTGGCCTACACAGAGGGTCTGCATGGGAAATGGCAGTTCACAGAGATCAGAGCAGTTTTTTCTCGCCGCTATCTGCTACAGAATACAGCGCTGGAGGTCTTCTTGGCCAACAGAAGTATGCTTTGATCCATAGCTGTTCTGTGATATCTTAAAGGGGATCGTAGCATGAGGCATCAAAATGCATTTTTTGAGGAGATCATTATACTATAGAAAACAGGCTGGGAACCATTTATTGATCTATTGTGGAATAAAAAGACAGGAAAAAAACTTTACTAACATTAAATCAACCTTAGAGGGAAAAATCAAGGAAAATAATATATAATAATAAAAAATTTTATTTTTTTAGAAAATTAATAATTTTGAAATGACAGTTCAAACAGTTCAACAAAAAGTTTGCTTGTTTTATTCACACACAGGGAATGATGCTTTAAATTCCTCTTTTCTTCTTACAGCGGCAGTCATGTTCAACTTCCCAGATGCGGCCACAGTGAAAAAGGTGGTGCACTGTCTCCCCAGAGTTGGAGTCGGCACGAATTTTGGCCTTCCTCAGACCAGGCATGTTCTTTGTTTCATTTGCACCATTCAATTACAGTAGTAAACAGTCTCTTCTGTTTGAAATCTATAATACATGCAGAAAGCTATACATTAGCATTCCCATTAATCTCAATGACACTTGCATATAACTTGTGCAGAACCCCCAAAAGTATGTGATTTGCTATCTTTCTGCCATCTTTGCTCATAGTCACTCAGTTCTGCACTTGCAATCTGTTGGCTAGGCATTCAATTCTACGTTTGCGTAACTGTTACTTCCGGAATATATGTTTCTGGCCCAAAGCCCCGTTCACACCAAGAACGATGACTATACAGATAACGATATTACCATCGATATCATCTGTTTGTTCTAAGCGTACGCTCGTCTGCCGCTTTAAATTCTTGAGCTCGTTACAGCAGGATGGATTCTGATTGGATGTCAATGTTTGTATTGTTCATCATCTGAAAAAATGTGTTCTGAAAGTGATTCCAACGATATCGTTTCTCTATGCCTTTATTGTTATAGTGGTGGTGTGGACTCTGCCATTCTTTAACATTGAGAATTATTTTTTAGAACTATATCTTTGTCGTTATCTTTTTAGTTATCGTGCTTGGTGTGAACGGGCCTTAACTCTGCTTGTTTGTGTGTGTTAATGTGTGTATGGTGTCAGGGGTGTCTGTAACACTGCCTAATTACCTTCACACAAACACAATTCACATCATTTATTTATCTCCCCAACTGAGAAATAAATACAGGGGCGAGAGCAGAGCCTGCAGGGCAGACTGGAAACACAGGAAACACACACACACACACACACACTGCTGCTGTTGTAGTTCAGCCAAAGAAAAGATGATTTAGACAAGTGAAATTCCATCACAATATCCTTCTAAATCAGTGTTCTTATTAAAAGTAAACATTCATTGCAATTAAGTAACTAAAATAACAATGTGGGTAACAGAATATAGTGAATATTGATCCCACAGAGGTCTCTGGATGTCTCCTCCTGGCAATGAAAGAATGTGTGAAGTGATTGTAGCGGTACTGTCCATTACAGACAGCCCTCTCCTGCCATGAATTCACTTATGCCTTTCTGCTAACATTCGTGGGGCATTTGCCTAGCGTTGTTACTGCGTTGCCTCTGTGTTAGGAGGGGCAAAGGGCATTGAAAACTTCAGAGAGGCCTAATGACTATAATCATGCTGGGTGACAGTGATGAATTCTCTAATTTCACTTTGTTTTAATTGGATGGAGAGTCATTTGTTTTAGTGTCCACATATTTGCTGGCACTGTGCATGTTCATTTAACAGGTTCCCACATTACCCATGAGGCCATTGTGTGTCTGTGTTCATGTCTGGATTTGGATGTAGGTTATATTCTGAATTATAGAAAAGTTCCTGTCATTGAATCTGACTGGTAGAGTGGTATTTTGTATAACAGTACTGCAATGTTTCACTGCTTGTATCTGTCGTAATGAATATTGGCTTCTTATGGAAGTTTTTTCATCGGAGCGCAAACGAACAAAATGGCTAATCATATTATGTCTATTTTATTTATACAGATGTTGTATTAAAGCAGTTGGCACTTTTTTTTTTTAAATGCACAGCCTTAAGTTTTTTCCTTTTAGAGGTCCTTTGTCGATACATTTCCGGCAGTGTTTGTTAAGCAGGCAAAATGCTGTACAAGTTCTGAATTTTTGTAATGTATGAAAAAAGCCATAGGATTTTAGTCTTTTTTTATAATGTATGAGCACAGACAATGTTACGGTGCTCTGAAAGTATATTAACAATGTTTGAGGCAATGACTGAATTATGAGGAAACTGTGATGCCAAATTGGACAAATGCTGAAACTAAAGAGCTTTTCTCTGTCTGAGTGATAAAGAAACATTTAGAGATTCTCTTACTATCTCACTGTATTTTTATCAGATTTTCTGCAATTTATCTGTGGCTTATGCCATAATCTGTACAATATTTTTCTCATCATACATATATTAATTTACAAAATATCCTGAAAACAAGTGCTCATATTTGAAATTGCACATTAAATAATGTATTGTAAACCAACTGAACAGCAAAGACATGCACATTTCAGGTTACTCTTTGAATTTCTGAATGTGATTTGTGTTTTTCTGACAGACGGATTTCTCTGGCCAGTCCGAAACAGCTTTACAAGGCCTCCAACATGACCCAGCGCTGGCAAAGACGAGAGATCTCCAACTTTGAGTACCTCATGTTCCTCAACACCATATCTGGTAAAAACCAATGATACCTGAACACTGAATGTACACATAAAGCTGAATGTACTAACGAATGAATAACTCTTTGCCCTAACACCTCTATGTGACACAACAAGAGACCAAATTTACGTGTTAATCCAGGTTTCTGTCCTAATCAGCTGTGACTAGCTAAACACATGTTTGGTAATTTTATTTTATTTTTTTGCTATGTTGGGCCACATAGTTCTGCCCACACTGATACCTCCCTGAACCAAAGCACTGAGACTGGAATCTTGTCACATTTGGTTAGGACATAGTGTTAGACAACTAACAAAGTTTGGAAGTTATTTGAAAAGAGGCCACATCTTTGAAACTAAAAATAACAGTTGTCATCTGCTCTCTGTAATCACTGTTTCTTCAGTATCAGTAGTTTCTGTGTTTTCTTTATTCGAGACTCTTTGTAATTCCATTGAACATGATGATGAAGTAAAGTCATGATTATGGTAATACAACTTGAGGAAATGTGTGAGGATTCTCGACCCTGCTTGTGTTTTAGGCCGTACATATAACGATCTGAACCAGTATCCTGTGTTCCCCTGGGTAATCACCAACTACGACAGTGAAGATCTCGACCTCACTCTGCCCAGCAACTACAGAGATCTATCCAAGGTAAACACATGACTACATACACACACAAAGCCAACAGCCTGAACTTCAAAGAGCTCCTGTAGTTTTAGAGACTGAAGGACATGTCTGAAGAAAAGTTTTGAAAACAAGAGTACATGGGAGTATTTATGTGAAAACCTCATCCGGCAGTTTTAATGATGAGGCTGAGTCTGATAGACAGATGTAGCCATCTAGCGAGGGAGGGAATGACTGCTGCTCTAGCCCCATCGCTGGGAGTCTGACCGTACATGTAGTACAGCGCTTGCGGCCGCATGCACGTCACCTCATGCCAGGCACCCTCAACCGCAGACAAGTCAGATAATGGGCCCGTGTCTGTCCTCCTCCCCTCTCCCCCTCAATCAACCCCTCAGAAACCCCTTACATCCCGCTTTCACCTCCTCCCCCATTCCCGTTAGCCAGCCAGCCTCCCTAAGGAGCTAATTAATGAGCGTAGTAGTACTTCAGCTAACCACACAGACAGACTGACACAGCTCACTGCTGGGAACACCAGACCTGCCTTTGTCTCTCTCAGTCTCTCGCTCAATACATAGGTATCTTAAATTGTATCACACCATTTGAAGGCAGTTCAGAAGGATTGTTCTTATCTCTTTTCTTTTGCAAACAGAGCTTTAGGTGGCGTGAAATCATATTAGTGGCGCATCCAGTCAGTGCGTATACTGATAAGCAGTGTGGCTAGTAATTGATATAATGTTGATATACAGTAAATACACTTCATTTCAATGGCAACAAATGATATGTACAACACCGATTTAAAGTTTTGGGGTTCGTAAGAGAAGTCTCTTACGCTCACCAAGGTTGCATTTTTTATCAAAAATGCAGTAAAACAGTAATATTGTGAAATATTATTACAATTAAATTTTTCTATTTTATGTTATATTAAAATAAAATTAGTGCTGTCAAACGATTATTCGCATCCAACAATCTTAAAAATAAAGGTGCTTCATGATGCCATAGAATAATTTTTTGTCTAAATGGTTCCGTAAAGAACCTTTAACATCTGAAGAGCCTTTCTGTTTCACAAAAGGTTCTTGTGGTGAAAGAAGGTTCTTCAGATTATAAAAAGGTAGAAAAGAGATGGTTCTTTGACTGAATGGTTCTTTGAGGCCAGTGGATTGAGGTTGTTCTCCTGGTTGATCATTCTGTAGTCATGATACCATGGTCTGTAATTGCAATCGATTGTTATGTAGTGAGTTTACCCCTGAACTACTAATAGCTGTTTCGCTGAAGTGATAGTGATTAACCAGCATTAGTCAGAAGGAAGATCCTAGATGCTAGTTGAGATATTCAGTCCAGTCCATCCTGTCCTGACGATGATGTTTATTTGCATTTTATTTAAATGTGGCTCACTTATGTTTGTATCTCAAAACTGGTGTTTTGAAGAGCTTCTTCCTCAGTCTAGACCTGATAAATATTTTATGTCAGGGAGCTGGGGGGCACTCCTCCAAAAGAATGCTTTTTACTCACATTGCACCATTTGGGTAATTGAGTTGCAGGACAAAAGTTGTGTTTTAAAACGCCTCCACCCTTAAACTCCACTTTAAAAGTGCTTGTGAAAGCTTGCCAGTCACTGCCTCAAAAATGACCATCAATTTCATGTAATGGTGGCCAATGGAGGGAGGACAGAGGATTACTTTTAGAGCTCAGATGATCGAACGAGTGTCCACTCTGACCCAAAATGGCAGAATAAATCAGTTCTGAGAGGCAGGAAAACAAAGGACTGAGAGATAATGGAAGATGAATTCCTGTGCAACAAGAACCATGAGGTTTGAGAAGTCACCCTTACTGTCTTCAGACTGAGATCATCGCTCATATTGCTCTCCAGTGCAGATTTATATGCAGGATGCTATCTGTATCTACTGCATTGCCTTTAGCAAAGAAATGTCTCTGTGTTTTGCCAATTCACATTCGGCAAAAACTAGTTCTTTCAGGTACAGAGTAGTTTAGGTTAATATATATTATATAACTGGAATATTTTCAATATTATGTAGTAGACAATATAAAATGAACCAACTTTGTGAATATGCAGTTACATTAAAACATTGTTTTATGCCAAACAATTAAAAAAACAATCTATTGATCTATGCAGTGCAATGCAATACATTAAAACATTGTTTTAATGTGCTCTTTATTTGACAATTAACTATTGTTCCTAAAAACCATCTAAATTGTCATGATTTGCAAGTAAGAGAGCAATAAGAAAATATCAATAGCAGCTCAGATCTACGCATGGATTATTTCAGGCTGTCCATTTCAAAGAATCGGTTCAAAACTCTTTTCTCTTGAGTGTTTCATCACTCAAAAATATTCCCAGACATTGTGGCATGCTTCGTAATGTTATAGTAAAAATAAAAAATGCCAGTCAATTAAAGAAAAAATCGAATTGATCTGAAAGCAATGCAGTGTATATACTGTATCTAGTTTTCAGCTGTTAGTGGCAGACTGTTATGTTTCCCCCACTTTTCTCTTGAGTGTTTCATCACTCAAAAATATTCCCAGACATTGTGGCATGCTTCGTAATGTTATAGTAAAAATAAAAAATGCCAGTCAATTAAAGAAAAAATCGATTGATCTGAAAGCAATGCAGTGTATATACTGTATCTAGTTTTCAGCTGTTAGTGGCAGACTGTTATGTTTCCCCCTGTACATGCTTGAACAAATAAATATACACAGAGACACACGCTGTTATAGCCAACACACAGCTTGCAGCATATCTCTTTATTTATTTATAATTTGTTCAGCCTTGTTCTGTTTCTTTGCAATGGCTTCCGCCCACTAGGTTAAAAGACAACAGTCCTGCACACCATCCTACATCACCCTCGCCTTTGTTTCTTTCTTTCCATCCCTCCCTCCCTCAAACTCTCTCTCGAGTTTTGACAGCCTTGCCTTTATGTTCAGTCAAGCTTTCAAGCCTTAGGGAGAAACGGAGGCCGAGCGAGAGCAGCCACCCCTCCCTCTGCAGCGAACAACAGCAAATCTCAACATTCTTTATTACAACTGCTTTATTCATGCTGTTGACACAGGCAATATCAGTGTATGACCAGTGGACCATGACAACACCGTCTCGCCTGTGAAGGCCATCTGAACCTTGTATATGCTGTGTGTCTTTCCTCTTTTTGTCCTTAACCCCTCCCGCTCTCTCTTGTCGTCTGCGTATGCCACGTCCCAGCACTGCTTTGATAGAACCAGGTCATGTGGGACCTTTTACACAGCGAGGTGAAATTGCCATAGACGCCGTGTTACACGCGCTGTCTTCCCTGCGGGCAGAGGAATGTGCTTCATGAATTTATGTTCCTTTTGTCTCATCGTTATGACCCCGCTGGCTTTCTTATCATAAACTCTAACCTCTTCGTGACATCTGGTGCAGCCAGAATTATCACTGCGGCTAGAAAGAACAAAACTGACACAACTGAGCGAGCCGCTTTCCAAATATATTTCCGCTTCTTATGTGTCTCAGTGGATATTGAGACACAAGCATATTCATCAGTTGTTTATTTTTATTCTTTTAAAATACTTCACAATAATGTGCACGCTACAATACATATCACAATGCATCAAAACCATATTAGGATTATGACTGAAATTGTTCCATATGCATGAGAGAGAGAGAGAGACTCACACAGGTCAGGTTGGGAGAGTGAATTATTTATGTATTAATTTTTATTGATGTGCCGTAGCTTTTCTACAAAAAAGTCACTTCCTAAATGATGTTGACATCAAGGAACTGCCCTTTCTTAGTTAAATTAATTTTACAAAAGTATAACAGGATGGCATTTGAGGACACAGCAGAAACCTATAAGTTTTGAAAAGGAAAAAAAGGAAATAACTCAAATATTATTTAATAAATTGTCTTATGTTAGAAGTTAGAAGTCCAAATTCTCTCTCATGTTCACTTAAAGTTGCAATGTAACAGAAGTAGCAACATATTTTCTTCCGTAGTTTGATGTACTGTACATCCAAGTGAAACGTTGATTGGATGGAGGCAGATCTGATCTGAATGTGAGCTTGCAGTCAATTGTGAGAAAAGGGTGGGTTTAAGTATAGACTAAATGATTGGAGAAGTCCAGCATACATCACCAGAGAGAAGTCTATCATTTAACCAGAAGGTCGAGTTATGACAGTTTGATTAAGATTTACGAGCTCAAAAACATTGAATCATTAAATGAAAAACACTGAATGAGTCATTCACAATAAGATCAATAAGATGCATTTAGAAAATAGGGTGAATTTCCATTTCATGCTGACTTTAATTGCAATATTGTGATAAACGAAAGCGAAACAATATGATTTCCATTGTGACTTTAATATTTTATCTGGTATATTAAGAAATATATGAGGGAGACATCCTATACTAGTGAAATGACAGATAAAATAAAAGATGTCCTGGCTAAGGCATGGTATTATATTTGTACATTAACAAAGATAACTAAATTTATTGACCTGTTTCTCCACCCTCACTGTGATGTAGTTAATGGCATATTGATTCGCCCTGCATCACATAATTTACACTCTTTCAACTGAGCACTAGATACACATTCACACCTTCTATAATGCAGTGGTTCCTCGAGCCCCCCAACACTGCACATTTTGCATCTCCTTTGTCTGACTCACCCATTTCAGGTCTTGGAGTCTCTACTAATGAGCTGATGATCTGAATCAAGTGTATTTGATTAAAGAGACACAGAAAACATGCAATGTTGGGGGGTAGTATTTAATCGTGTAGCATAGTGGATTAGTTCTTATAGTAATATATTGCATTGCACCCCTTTTGCTTGCTGTGTTTCAGTGCAAAAAAAAAAACCTTCTAATTCAGAACTTAAATTAAGTCACTGTTTAGACAAGCACACTTTCTGCATTTAAAGGTGCCTAGATCACAGTGGGCAATACAAATTGCATCCAGCAGAGAATATTTGGGCATATTTGTGATTTGTTTAATCGTCAATCGTGTGCAAATGCACAAAGCTATCAGGCCCAATTCATGAATTCCCCCCTCAGAAACCCTGAATTTTGAGCAGCACGGTGAAGTGCTGATACTCAAAGCTACTGGCAGTCTGTTCAGATTTGCAGTCTAATTAAAAACATTGGGGCAGCTCATTTATTTGAGCCGTCACTAGAGAAATATTCAGCAGTGCTGCCAGAGAGTATTAGGGTCGGTGGTGTGCGTTCACTCCATCACACTGCGCTGTGGTACGGGGATAACCCTGATGAACGACACTGTCACGAGACCCTATTGTACTGGAGCGTAAACAACACGAGGGGCTCGCACGAACACACACACACTCATATACATGCACACAAATTTACACATCCACATAGAAACACTCTCTCACTCACACACACTCACACTGAGCTATGACAGAGATGTTTTTTATCCTGCTCTCCCTTTTCTTTCTTTAATGAGGGTCCTGTTATTACCGCAATCAATCAGTTAAATCGCACAATGTTTAATTCAGTGTGTGTTCTCACCGTAGTTGCCACAAGAGAGCAGACTGTGTGTCATTGTCAGCCCAGGGCTGCATTTCAGTTTACACACACACACACACACACACACACACACACACACAGAATAAGTCCATTACATTTCAGTGACAATTATACAAGCTTTAGTGATTTACAATCAAATGTTGATTAAACAGCGCTCCCTTTTAAATCCCAATTAAATCCAAAACATGGTTTAATCACGATTATATTAGAATTAGTGGAATATAATTAACCTCTATTTTGAAATGAGCCCCACAGCCCTTGGCCTTCTTGCACAGTGTTAAATATCACATTAATGCAGGCACACATAGCCACATAAGCACAGTGGAGCATTAAAAGATACAATCGGTGGTTTCACACACATATTGTTCTAGCACCATTGTAATCAATAGAAAAGCAGCTGAGGACCCTCATTACACAGCTATGATATGAGAGGAAGATGGAGATGGTCGATCTGTCCTGCCCACTCTCATTTCAAGGAACTCCATCATTCCATTACTATTGATCAAACTAAGATATGAGAGACAGAGAGAGAAAGAGAGCTGCAGTTCAAGAGTAATAAAGACTCAGCAGGGTAATAACAATACATATAAATGAGCATTTAAATAATGACCTGTTTCCGTATGCTGGGTTTCTTCAGATCAATGAAGAATTAAAGCAGCTAATCAATGCTTCTGATAAAACCCAATGCATGTCAAGAGAGTATTAGATCTCTCATCCCCTGCCTTAAATTCAATATACCCTTTACTATTAATGTTTAACACCATTATGAATGTACAAATATACATAATTCAAAAGTAGGGGTCAGTATGGTTTTTTTTCAAGAAATTATTTAATTCAGAAAGGATTCATTAATTTGATCAACAGTAAAAGTATAGTGCTATAAGATTTACATTTCAAATAAATGCTGTTCTTTGGAACTTTCAATTTGTCATTCACTGAATCTTGATCAAATAAAAAAAGTGCCACTGTTCCAAAATATTAAGCAGCACAACTGTTTTCATCATTGATTATAATAGTGTTTCTTGAGCACTAAATGAGCATAATAGAATGATTTCTGGAAGATAATGTGATACTGAAAATTTGAGTAATAGCTGCTAAATTTTTAGGTTTGCTCTCACAGGAATAAGTTACATTTTAAAATATATTAAAAAAGAAAACGTTATTTTAAATTGTAATAATATTTCACAATGTTACAGTTTTAGAAATCTTAAAAATCTTACAGACCCCAAACATATGAACAGCAGTACAAATGAACACAATTATTTTGTTCAATCACCTACATGAACTGTAAGATTTTATTTTTATTCACAGATACAGAAAACAGACTGTTGAATGTGACTCACTAAAAATAACAGTCTATTATTGATGAAACTTGACAGCTGCACTAAATTATTATTTAAATAAATAATTATCATTAACAAATTATTACTTTTTAACACCTGTGGTCCTTATTCTAATAATTTATTTCTTTGGTTCTTGAACATTTATGCTTTATTAATTCAGTTTTATGTTTATTACAATAATGTTGTCCTTTCTCATTACAGCCTATTGGTGCCCTCAACCCAAAGAGGGCTGCATTCTTCTCTGAACGTTTTGAATCATGGGAGGACGAGCAGGTGCCCAAATTCCACTACGGCACACACTATTCCACCTCCAGCTTTACTCAGATGTGGCTACTCAGGATTGTAAGTTTCACACTGTAACACAGAGATGTATCTAACTCCAAACTGCACAATTTTTAAATCTTTTTTATAACATCAGTTGCACGAAAAAGAAAAGCATGTCAGTGTGCCATTTCTCAGTGCATTATGTCCTTTAACATTTGCTTTTTCATAGTCTGTTTATGTAGGACAAATAAACGGGACATGATCATAATTGTCAAAATGATTTGCACCTTTTAAAGGGTTTTAAAACATAGCAGTTCTGTGCTCTTTATGCTGCGGCAAAATGTTACACATTCATCATGTGATCTGTTGTGAAGCACATTGCAACTAATTGTTGTTTATAATTGGGCATATGTGCGTGCTCAGTCAGGTTGATTTATTGTTATATTGAAATGTAGGCCTTATCTGCATACTAACAAACACACAACACATCGCTCATCTTCCCTTCATCCTTTGTGTTCTAATATCTGCAGAGAACAAAGACGTGACACTCGGGAGGAAAAATACTTTATAAGCTTTATAACAATATTTTGATGAAGCATGGTTTTGTTCAATATAAGCAGTTCTGTATTAGTTTTACAGTTATAAAGTCCCATGGTCCTCTCGAAGCCTTTGTACAGTGTCAGTTGCTTCACATTTAAATTAGGTCTATGTTTTATTTAGTTTGAATGTTTAGAGCATTCACATATTCCTTATAAATTCTACTCACAAAGAGAGAGAGCCAGAGCTAGAGGTCACTAGCCCATTCCTGGCCATCACTGTAATTGTTACAGTTTTTCACTTTCATTGCCATTCCCTGTTGGCCCATTGTATTGATCCCATCCCATTATTATCAGGCTTATCCCAAATCCACTTCACCAAACACCCTAATTCATGTACCATAGCACAAATCAGCAACCTCGTGATATTGAGGCTCTTGACAGAAAAAAGTAGGGTGTTAAATTCAGTCAAGCACTCAAAAGCCTCTGCGTAATTAGGGTAGTTTTCTTTCATGGTGTAGCTTACCGGGGTGCTATTCACTCTAATTGCGTCCTTCTCATCGGGGAGGTATTGTTTCAAAAGAACCACCTATTGATTCTGCACAAACAAGATTAAGCATGATTAGAAAAGAACAAATAATGCACTTGTAAAGGATTTACTGTATGACCAGGGTTAATAACAGGTTTCTTTAGCATTCAGGTCCCTCTTTTGGGGAAGAGGATGTCATTTAGTGCACACAAATTAGGATCATATTGTTTAAGGCTTTGTTATGAACAGCAGGCATCGATGCTAAATAAGAGATTCTGGTCTGGTTGCACATATTGAAAAATTTTAAAATTGCAGGCTAAACGCTGATCAAAGTAGACTCGTAGTTATTAAATACATGATCTGTGCTCAGTGGAATTTGCCCTGTAGTTGTTTTAGGCCCTAACATGACTTTGTAATACTCATTTTAGCGTGAATGTGTGTATTTTTTCGTTCTCTTCTATTCTCAGGAGCCTTTCACAACGTTCTTCCTGAATTTCCAAGGTGGGAAATTTGACCACGCAGATCGCACTTTCTCTTCAGTGTCCAGAGCCTGGAGAAACTGCCAGAGGGACACGTCTGACGTGAAGGTATGTCAACATATGTGCATGACACTCAGAAATGCTTTGTGAGTCATAATATTACCTTTTAATTTAAATGTTCATTTATTGTCATGAATCCATATTTATTCACATGCACAAAGCTGTACTTGTGCTTATTTACTCTTATTCAGGCATCAGTCGGTCCCTGGATTTGGTTTTTGCCTTGCACTGATATTTTTCACAAATGTGGAGGCTATTACATGATTAGACGTTTCTCTAGTGAGTTGACTTCCTCTTGGTAACTGGAGCTTGCTGGGACTTGGTGTGAGGGCAGTTGTCATGGAGACACTGCAGCTCTCTGCCCGGCTGCCCCCATCACCTTTCCATAAAAACTGGCCCTAGCACATGTACGGTCACAACCAATCCTTGTCATGCTACTATGAAAGCGTCAAGGGTCCTTGATCAAAGCTTTAAACTAATCTTGATTTCAAACTTCCCCCCTTTCCCCCCTTTCACTCTCTCTTGCGAAACCTTTCATAACACTCTAACCCTCAGTTGAACCTTTTGTCGTTCGGCCCCAAACCAAAGTCAGACAGCAATCCCAACTGCACACTCAGAGGCCCTCAGAGTTTTCAGCATTAACTTTAACAAATGTCCAGAACTATTGAAATATTCATTACAACAGACAGCCATTTTGTTAGCACGGTCGTTGCATGCTGCCGTTTTTCAGGGGCTGATTGCGCTCATTTGATAATAAGACATGTGGCTCACATTACATGGTCACACTTGATACCGAAAGCTTCACTCAAAGCCCAGTTTGGATTCTACGTGAGCTTGTCACTGTGGATCAGCATAACAGGGTTGGCGTGCATCAAAACCGAATGGAGTACTTGACTAAAAACCTGGAAATCACCTTCAGTTTATTTGACTTTGAAGCTGTGCATTTCAAACATGTTTCACTTTTCTTAACCCTGCAAAAAGGGTCTGATAGGTGCAAATGAGAAGCAAAGAAGTGCCTTCAAATTTAATAATGTATCAATTTGCCATGCTGTTATCCCTTTTTCTTAAAAAAAAACAAAAAGCACAGTAGTCCACCCACATTTAGAAACACCCCCTCATTCAACCAAGGGGTGAAAAGCCTTTAGCAGTTTTTGTGTCTAGGCTAAAGAGAGCTATAATGGCCTAAAGCCACGCTGATCCTGTCTGTCTCTAGTCAGGCAAACTCTGGCCTGACCTTTAACCTCCATCCCCTGACCCCCGTGCACTAGGCTGAAAGCAGTGCGGACACTGAAAGTTTCCCCTCAGGGGAATCAGAGAGGACCTAAGAGCGGGCCCAGGGGCACCCCTCTCTACTGACCCGCAGCAGGACAGGATTTTGGATCACAGGTTTTGCCCTATGACCAGTTCTGCTCAAGGGCCATTGCGCATAATAGCTCCCCAATGAAGACGCCAAATTTACACCAGGCTCCATACATGAACCTCAGGGCGCCTGGTGCCATTGTAAAATCGTGACCTTTTTGTTTTAAAGACTTCGGTTTTAAAGAGAGGACCAGAAAGAAATGAGGCAGGAGGCTAGTTTTGAACTTCCACCTTTTGTTTGCTCATCTAATTGGCCACTCACTGAGGAGCTGTGTTGTATATACATAACATATTAATGCATGCTATGCTATATTAAACATGTAAAGTTGTATTTATTCTTATATGGATGTTTAAATTTAAACCTAAAATGTTATTCTTCTACATAGAAACATTAACCATGTGGTTTTTGCTCTTTTTAATGGACCTTTCACAGAAAACCATAGATTAATTTGGATGTGAGACAGAACTTGATTGGTCTATGACTACAGAGTGAGTGATAGATTGTCAGTTAGATGGTTCTCCCAAGGGACTCATGTTTCTGCAGAGCAAGAGCATGTTTATCCTCCAAGGACTAACTTCAGACCAATACCAAGTACAAGTTAACAATTTTAATTTGATAGCTGATATTTTTAAATTTAGACCCAGAGTTTTATTCCTCTCCATTGAAACAATTTTAAGAATCCTGTTTGTCTCATATAATCAAGTTATATAATAAACTTGACCACATTTGAGCGCTGTAGCAAGAGCAGCAAGAATGATTGTTTCCTCCAAACACTGTGTAATGAGAATTAAGAAAAATGCCCATATATTTTATAAATGAGGAAAGAGATCTATTACTGTTTACCATGCTTTGACTGCAGCGTGCCACTGCACTGCAATGTTCTTTCAGGATGACATGCAGTCACTCTTTCTGTGAAGACTTTAAAATTGGATATTAAACTAGAGTAGCTCCAACTGCATCTTTCACTTAGAGTGGCAGCATGGCACAGATTAAAGGCTAAAGATTCAAAGAAGGAATAACTGATTCCTCCAGTCCTGATTCCCATTTAATGAGCTGTTATATTGTATAGATATCTAGAAATACTTGAAACTGGATGCATCTGCTTTTGCACAATAATCAGCTTTGCTTCCTTGTTTACTTTCTTGTTTGGAATGAATTATTGAATGTTATTTGGTGAATTATTTTGAATAATTATTTTTGATTGTCGAATATGTCTAATTTAGGAATGTCAAAGTCACTGTGTAAATGATGTTTATCATTTTGGCAAACATGCCAACAAATCTACCCCCCCCCCCCCCCCCCCCCCCCCCCCCCCCATTTCCTTTTGATTTTGAGTCTAAGACTGCCATAGAGGCAGTGAGTTCTCATATATTTCAGTGATATCAGCATAAAAAATATATACTGCCAACAACACCTTTTATTAATTTTTTTACATTATATACATATTTTATTTACACGTTTTATACATATTATACAGTACATATATACATTTGATTTAGTTTTCTTTCTTAAAAATTAACTGCATTTGTTAACATCATGTACCAAAAAGTTACTTAAATAATTAAGATTAAATATTTAAAATTGATTACAAGCCCTAAACTAATTATTTTATCAGTTAATAATTTGAAATTTATAGTTACATATGCCTTTTTTCTGTCTCTCTCACAGGAGTTGATCCCTGAGTTCTATTACCTCCCAGAGATGTTTGTCAACTCCAATAATTACAACCTGGGAGTGATGGATGATGGGACGGTGGTGTCAGATGTGGAGCTGCCGCCCTGGGCCAAGAGTCCTGAGGAGTTCGTACGGATCAACCGACTCGTACGTTCACTCTCTGTGTCTCCATCTTTCTTTCCCTCTCTCTCCATCTTTCTTTATCTCCCTTATTAAATTGCTGTTAAAGTGCTGATTGCGAGTGGCTCTGGCGAGCGTGTCTGGCTCTTTGTGTCTATTTGTGTGTGCGTGTGTGCACGCTAATGCTGTGACCTGTTTTATGCTGATAATTACAACTCTGATATCAGTCTGACTCTCCCATTAATCATCTCTTTCTGTGTCTCACACATAACCCCCTCATCCAGTGTCAATGTTCTGACATGCACACAGACGTTCACACACTTCTCTAAGTCTGTGTGTAGGGTTGCACTTTAGTTGTTTGATCACTATCAGATAAAGTGCTGCTTTCTCTTTGATGTGTGTACATGCTATAGAAAAGTAGTAGTCACAGTCATACTGATTGCACTGTTATGAACAGTACTGGTGCTGCATTAATTGGTGTCACTGCCTTATATCACAGACTCTGCCATTAAATTGTATGACAGTGCTTCTGTACAGAGTGTCAAATGTTCTGACACAATCTAAACTAACTGCATGGGCAGCTTGTAGTCAGTAGTAAGTGCACATTAATGTAACATGAGACCCTTTGTTGTCATAAGAGTCAAAGGTATTCTATTTTTTGGGATATTTTAAGCTGTCATCCTCTACCAAAACAAATTTATGTTTTAAAATTTTGTTGCTTTATTATATTAGCAAAGTAGGCCATGCACACAGTGAAAAGTTTTTGAATTTAAATTTACATACAGAAGTGACTGTAAACAAGGCAGTTAACTCACTTTTTATTTAGGGATTTTATTTTTTAAATTTATTTATTTTTGGTTACTGGACATTTTAGTGTGTTTTGTTTATACTAAAGACCATGTGCTTTCTAGGACCACAATGTGTGGGTTACCCATGGACCGCAAGGGTTGATGGGAGTAATTGTGGTGAAGAAAAAATGCAATTCGGTAAAGACATGCATCCGTTTCCTCAAATGAGCTGTCAGTGTCCAAAAGAGAGTGGCAGCAATACATTAGCAACTTATTGTTTAGTTTGGTTCTTTTGTTCTCTTCAAACCATGAATGATTTCCATCACTGGAGTAAATTACATTTTACAATATATTAAAATTAGGGGTCGACCGGTATGGGTTTTTCACTGGCCGATGCCGATATTTAGAAATCAGGGTGGCCGATATATGATGCTGATTTTTTGGCCAATATGTTTGGCCGATTTTCTTTTTCTTTTTCTTTTTTTTTCCCTTCATCTCATAAAAGTGAGTTTGAGTAAATGATTATTGCAAGGTACAAGATAGTAATAGTAGTAGTAGCCTAATTCAGAGTAACAATACATGGCTCAAAACATAAGCACCTTCTCAAAACTGTTCTGAAGCATGCTTTTTGTTTATGTTTGCTGACAGACACCAGTGTTTCCCACAGACTTGCAAATACAAACTCATTCTCTGCCAGCAGGAGGCACTGTTGGAGCGAGAGATATAGCGGTTTCCCCGGTGATGGCTGTAATCAAATAAGCACTGCGTTCACAAACACTACTTTTATCAGGCATTACAGGAAAGACAAAATGAAAATGACACCAAAGCTTTTCTAAAGACGGTCGATTCTTTTCAAAGATATATTCATATAAAAACACCAGCGCTGCATTTTAATTTTGAAACGTGCAGTGATCAGTTTATTCAGCGAAGTAATAACTCAATGTATGGAAACACTGGACACTACTATAAGTCAAATGGCCAAGTGATAAAAATAAAAGAGTTCACACATAATACACAGCCTGATGCTCATAACTGCGTAGAGTGCACTGGCCACAAGCGATGACATCGTGGATGCTACTGTCGGACCTACACACACATTTCACGAAGAAAGTTAACGTGCACGTTACAATCAGCCCAGAAGTTTCGTCTGAATTGCATGTGTTTCTACTTTCACATGCAAATGACTTGTTGCACTTATGAATATGATAACTTTCCGGCATCAATGCTAGAAGGGTGAAACGTAATTATGCGTTCGAAACGGTCTGTTTTGCCCTGCCATCATTAGCTGAAGCTGTGTGTGAACAAGAAGCGGCTGCAGAGTTGCTCCATCTCTCACGCACGACACGCAGCCAGAGACAGATTCTCCGTGTTCCGCAACAACGCTTAGCTGCCCGCAGATGCGCCTGCCTATAAATCGGCCTAATTTGCAGCACAATCGGCCTATGCCGATTAATTAAAAAATGCCAAAAATCGGCCGATCAATCAGTCGACCTCTAATTAAAATAGGAAATGGTTATTTGAAATTGTAATAATATTTCAAATTATTACAGTTTTACTGTACTTTTGATTAATGCAGCCTTATTGAGCATAAGAGACTTAAAAAACATTTTTAAAAATCTAACTGACCACAAACTTTTAATAATAGTGTATATGCATATGTAATATAAATGTATAATTTTGTTGGGTTTCTTTCCTATGAGTTTGTAAATCTGTGTCACATATGATGTTATAGTATTCTAAAATTCTTATAAAAATAGAAATGGCATCTGGATTGTCTGTCCTGTATCATGAGGACAGCTACCCTCACAGCTAGCCTGCACTGATCCCTCCCTATGTTCTGACCATTCTTACCTCAAAACTGCTCTCAGATCAGTTTGATGCTTACTTCTCAGCTAAATGCCCATAATATACTGTTCCTTGCAATATACAAAAGATAAGAGAATGCAGCTGGTGCATCTGTAATTAGTTTCCCTTTCCTTTCCTTACTTTCCTATAGCAAAGAAATTATAAAACTGATATCAGATCATTGCAAAAGCTCACCTTTGCCAGCACTAAATTTGTCTTAATATGCACAGCAACACACACAATGAGGCACAACATGAATCGACTGACTTTGTCCAGTGTGAAGATTCACTATTGATCTGAGCAGCAGAGAGTGAAGTAGATGGACATGCATGTAATGTAACAAGCTTAGACTGTATACTAGTCATTACAGCATATTACATCATAGGAATTGGACCAGCAAAGTTCATTAGTTCCAAAATTGTTTTGCAGTAACTAAACTTAATAATTTGACATTTTAATTAAATTAATTTAAAAGAAAATATTTTTAAAAAACCGTGCAAGCTATTCCTTTAAAATTGTCAAATTTGACGCTTTTAGAATGAGTAAACAGAGTAGACAGTAGAATTAGCAGAAAGAATTAGACACATCTACTTATTATTTATTATTATTTTTATGCACATTTTATAATAATAGTTAAGCCATTAAATCATTGCTAGCCATGTGATAATATTATTAAATAATTAAGCATTGTCATTAATGCAGTAGCAGTTTTAAGGAATTTTGTGCTTATGACAATTCTGACCTATAGTAGTGTGCCTATTTTGTAAGCATCTCTTTGTAACCTGTCTAAATATGTCATACATGTTAACGCTTGTGATACTTGTGAATTCAGTTTAATCTTTCGCTTCTGATCAGTTTTTGACTGTGTTTGAGTGTGCAAGAAAAGGAAGTGAGAAAGAAGGATTGAACAGTGTGAGTCATAAGGCTCCATGTGCTCCACGGTTGTGTTCAGCTGGTGTGTATAAACATTGTGCTGAATCTTCTCAGTAAAGCTCAGCAGACCCTCTTCAGCAAGGACAGCTACAGGTTTTATCCTCTTTTCCAGTAATTTGACTTTCCAGTTTATCTTTTCATAATAAAAAAAAATGCTCTGATCTCTTAAATGTGCCCTGTCTCTGTCAGCAGTTATTTTACACTAATCCCAGAAACCCCTCATTAACAGGAGCTCCTCTTTCTTGTGTGTGTGTGTGTGTGTAAAGTGGGCATGAGCACCGCTGATGACTTATAGCTGGCATTAGGGGATGTCAGCTGTTCTACTCTGCTACAATGGGCTACATTTGTAATGAGGGCATAGACTCAGTCAGAGACAGACACGTGCAGCAGAGAGCTAATGGCCTGCTACACTCTTTAGCTCATCTGTCACTAATGGCCAGAAAACAGCATGATGCACACACATGGTCATTTATGTTCTATAGATGATTAACAGCTAATTAAATTGCAATCTGCACCAGTCATGCTAAATGCATGCTTGCAGAAATAACTGCACTCACAATTGGTGCACAGTTTTTGTGAGCGCCTCTGTGTATCCTTAAAAGAGCAAAATAATCTCTTCAAACATTATACAAAATGACCATAGTACTAAATCAAGTTCTTAAAATGCTTCAACCAAAAATGATATATAACAATTTTACAAATCAGGGCTTAGTTTCTGCTTCCTTTTTGGTTCCTTTAAACATTTTAATTATTCTAAAAATATTTGGGAAAAGAAACAAAAATAATTTGTATTGCATTTACTGTCCTCAACAGGCTGTTGCCAAATTAAGAAATATAAATATTAGAACTAAATTGAATTTCATTCATTAATTTAAAAAATATATTTTTACAAAGACCTTTTAATTACTTATTGGTTGGTGCATTGGTCATGTCGTGTGCTCTCATTCATTAAAAAAACTAGACTCATAAGAGACATTCCTTGAGAAATCAGACTTCACCTGTTTTTTTGTTGTTGTTTTTTTGGAGGGGGGGATCAGACTGGTTGTGTTCTATGCTTTTGATTCACTACAAAGAATTGGCTCATGAAAAGCATTTATTTGAGAATCAGATTACAGAGGTGACATTGCATGCTTTGGTTATTAACTCAATTAACTCAGGAATCATTTGTTTGGGAACCACTACACTGGTTGTGTTTTATGCCTTTGATTCACTAAAAGCTCAAGGTCAGAAGATACATCCATTCTGGAATTGGACTAAATTAGTGTATTTTATGCTGTAGATTTAGTAGCATTTTTTTTTTTTGGCTGCCAAATAGTCATTTCCAGTTTTACATGGAGATTTACATAACCGCTTATAGCTAGCTCATTTCAAAAATGACATCAAAACTGAAAACTATTTTTCTACTTTTGCATGATGTCAGTATAGCTCCAATACTACTGCCATATCAACCAATGTAACATA